CAGTTAACCAGCTAAAAGCAAGGTTGGAGGTATGGCTTATGGTGTAGAACACTAACCTTGAGCCAACACGAAGAACACATCAGAGGCTCTGGGTGTAATTCCCAACAGCAAGATGGAGGAGGGGGAAGAGTAGGAGGAGAAGGAGGAAGAAAGGAGGAAGGAGGAGGAGGAAGAAGAAAGAGGAGAAGGAAGAAGGAAAGAGAGGGCAGGAGGAAGAGGAGGAGTAAGAAAGAAATAAGAAAGAAAGAGAAATAGAAGAGAAGCAACAGTCCTAAATACAGTTGAGTTCCACCCACTTTTGGACCCCCAGTTCCTGCTTTTGTTGCCAGTCTGAGATTCTCCTCTCCACCGTCCAGCCAACCACCTCCACTCTAGAGTGGCTTTGCCCTGGAGCCATTTTGGCTGTTGGGTGAAGATAAAAGATAAACAACAACAAATTCAGTGGAAAGTAGGAATGGGGCAAACAGAAAATAGAGCAGGAATCCTAGAGGGATTTCTAGACAGGTGCTACCCATCTTCCTTCGAAACGGCTGGCCGCCCACTTACCGCCAGCCATTTACAGATGGTCAGTCCTCACTATCCTTCCCATCTGTCCCCCGAAGCCAGCACTGAGGCGCTGGGGTCTGTCAGGAAGTTTCTAGGGGAGCATGCTGCATCCTTTCTTGGTGCCCCATGGGGTGGTACCAGGGCGAATGACCCCGCTGAGCCGGTGCTCTCTCTGTAGCGCCAGGCCTGTGGGTGCTGTGCGCACGCGCCCGGGCGGCTCCTGGGGGGAACCGTTGGGGCGAATCTGATCCTGCACGGTGGTCCCAGCAGGTGCTTTGCCTTTGAGGTCTCTAGGTCTCTTATAGCTGTACTTGTGGTGGGCAGAAATTCTTCTGGTTTTACTGACGGGGGACTCACAGGGGGTCACCCCTGTGCTGGACGCATCATAGATGGACGCCATCTATGGAGATCTCTTTAGGTACCTGGATGGGGATGAAAATGGGTCCTTGGACTTATCTGAATTTCAGGAAGGCCTGCAGGATTTGGGGGTCAAGCAACCCCTGGAGGATGATGAGGTAGGCTTCATTCACAGGGGTTCTGATCAGAGAGATGGGCGCAGCGGAGGGGTGAAGCCAAACTTACCTATTTCTGGCCTTCTGTAATACTTGTGGTTTATGAGTGCTTCTTATTTTGTTTTTAAGGAATGACAACTAATACTCTGTTATCTTCTCCCCATTCTAATTGGCTATCACAAAATTTCCCTCTCCCCCCAACTTCGGATGGCTCTTCCACTAATTAGCTACAATTTTGTTCTGGAGGTCAACTTGTTCAATGTACTCACTTGTCATTAGTAGCCTAGATGGCAAACTGGAACAGCTGCTAGATCTGTACCTGCCATTTGGGGATGAAGAGAATTGTAGGTGATTCTCTAATGTTACGTTTTGGTTCCTCTTCCTAGGAAGGGTTTGGTCTGAATGGTTTATACTTTTGGGCTTTGACAGGTCTGAAGTGTCCTCATATTGTAACCTTAATTATAAAGATCAAGCTTGGACACCATTTCCGTTATGAACTCTTTCCTAGCAGTCTAGAATGTTGATCCTTCCCTTCTCAAAATTATGCTTCATGCAGTTTTATTCATGCACTTTCAAGAAATTATTATTTTCGTAATTAGTACTTCATGCCCACAAAAATGTTTTGTCATTAGGATTTGTAAAACTCTTCCTATTAGTCATGGGAGCGTTGGTAGTCTGTGAGCGTTGATAGTCTGTGTGTGTGTGTGTGTGTGTGTGTGTGTGTGTGTGTGTGTGTGTGTGTGTGTGTGTGTGTGTACTGGGGCTTAAACACAGGGCTGTTCCTTAGCTTTTTTTGCTCAGAGCTGGTACTCTGCCACTTGAGCCATATCTCTACTTCAGGTATTTTTTTTCTCCTGGTTAATTGGAGATAAGAGTCTAACACATTTTCCTGCATGGGCTAGGAGATCCTCAGATCTCAATCTTCTGAGTGACTAGTTTGTGTATTTTTTTTTTTTGGTGCTTGTATTGGGCTTGAACTCAGGGCCTCAAGCTCTGAGTGCTCAGCTTTTTGTGCACATGGCTGGTGCTCTACCACCTGAACCATGCTTCTAGTTCCAGCTTTTTGCTGGTTATGTGGACATAGAAGTTTCTTGGATTTGTCTGCATGAGCTGGCTATGAACCATGATCCTCATATCTTAGCCTTCTAAGTAGCTCAGATTACAGGTATGGGTCACTGGTGTCCAGCTAGAAGTCTTTAAATATCCATTTAGTCATTAGTTGTATTTTAAGCATGTTCTATGTATCAAACACTGTATCCTGGTTTCTTCATAATTTACTATTGATTTGGATGAGTGTCTTTCCCAAAGATCCCAGGATTAAAATCTTGGTCTCCAGACAGTGGTATTATTAGGAGATGGGGGGAGGGGATTTTTAAGATTCAGGACCTAGATGGAAGTCTCTGTCATATGGGGCTGTACCATTGAAGGAGATTGTGAACCTTGGTCCTTCCTCTTTCTCCCTGCTTCCTGGCACTTGGAGTGGGGCTTTCCCCTGCCTGGATGTGCTGCTCTGCCACAGGCCCAAAGGCTACTTATGTGCCCAGATGACCAGCAACTGACGTTCTGAGCCCAAATGAGCCTTTGCTCTGATTACCATGGGTGTTTCGTCACAGCACTGACTTAACATATCTGTGCTACCACCTGGAACAGGTGCTGTCTGTAGAAGAGTGGATTCCATAGTTCTAGTTTTTAAAAGCTCCCTTTAGTTCTTGAAGTCCTGAAAGTATGGAAATGCAATTATTTTTAGAGCTAAATGCTCTCCATCCTTCTTTAAACCCACACTTGCATTTCAGTATGTAAATTATGATTTGTATTTGCTCTTATGCTAACCACCAGCCTTTTAGTAGATCTTCTGGATTATGCCATAATAAGTGCCATCCTGCAAAACATAGTTATTTCTTGTCAAAACAAAAGTTTCTTTACAAATCTTTTCCCCCCACTTTTGGTAAAAGATGGAGTGGAAACCATATGAACATTTTTTCTAGTTAGTGATGGCTGATGAAGGTTCACACATCAATCCAAGCAGAGGTACGCAGGGGCTTCTCACCAAACATGGGCATCATGTTTTCCAGGAGAGATGTTGGCTTTTTCTTCAGGTGACAGTGACCTCTCCAAGAATTTCTGAGTTGAAGCTGTGCACATGTCTCTAGTTTTCTAGGAGGACAATTATTTATATAGACTGAAAATTCAATTGATGAAAAGCAATAGAAAATTACATTGTATAGTGGTTTTATTCCTGTGGGATTTTTTTGGGGGGTGCTTGTACTGGGGCTTGAACTGAGGGCCTGAGCAGTATCCCTTAACTTATTTGCCCAAGGCTGGTGCTCTTCCACTTGAGCCACACCTTCACTTCTGGCCTTTTGGTGGTTAATAGGAGATACAAATTTTCTAGACTTCCCTTCCTGGGCTGGCTTTGAACTGTTATTATTGGTCTCAGGTTACTGAGTAGCTAGGATTACAGGGGTGAACTACCATACCTGGCCATTGTTTCTTTTCTTTGATTTGCAAAGACAGGGTAAAACACACTTTGTTCCCAAATGATATGTACATGGAACAAGATACAGAATTGGAGATATTGATGGGGCTTCAGAATGCTTTGACATTTTTCTCCTGAATAATGCAAATCTCAGTTGAGTAATTTGAAAAAGAACTTGAAAAACAATCATTATTTTCTAGAAAGTAAGAAGTAGTATTTTAATCAAGCCTCTTTAGGTTATACTGGAAAAGAAACTAGCTTAGACAAAAAAAAGGCTGGACTATTTTTGTAGATACCCATTATCAGACTAAGGAAGTACTTTTCTATTCCTAGTTGTTAAGGGTTTTTTTTTCCTTTTGGTGGGGGTTGCTAAATGCTTGCTAAACAAGCACTCTACCACCTGAGTATAAATAACTGAAGTCCTTTTGGCTTTATTTTTTGAATAAATTCTCCTCCTACCCCTTCTCCTGAAGAGCTAGGATGACATGTAGTTAAGTTGGCCACTATGCCCAGCTTTATTGGTTGAGATGAGGTCACGCAATATTTCTCTGGTTGGCCTCAAATCCATATCCTCCCAGTCTCTTCTTCCTAAGTATCTGAGATTACAGACATGAGCTTCTAAGAGTTCTTAATCAAGATATTGAATTCATCAAATATTTATTAAGATAATCATATGACTTTCTCTGTTTATGCTATAAATTACAAGATTTCTTAATGTTAACCCAACATTCCATTTTAACTTGTTTATCTGTCCTCCATATAAAATATATAAATAGTACATATAATTTTATATATTATGGCATTTGATCTACCATCCTTTAGGCGTTTTATATATGTATTATCAGTGACATTGCTAATAATTTTCTTTTTGAAGAGATGGCATGAAGGGTAGATCTGCCTCATCAAATGGGTTGAGAAATATTGTCACCTTTCCACTTCTCTGAAACATTGTTGTTACTACTTCCTTGAAAGTATTGTAGAGTCAGGCACGGGTAGATTATGCCTGTAATCCTAGCTATGCAGGAGGCTGAGACCAGAAGATTGTGCTTCAAAGCCAGCCCAGGCAAGAAAGCATGGAAAACTGGAAGGGGATCTGTGGCTCAAGTGGTAGAGCACCAGCCTTGAGTGCAAAAGCTCAGGGACAGCACTCAGGACATAAGTTTAAGCCCCAGTAACAGCATTCCCTCCTCCCCCCACAACATTGCTGTGTTTTATTGAAATAAAAACAGCATTTTTCTTATCAAATTTAGCAAAAAGATTTAGAAATGTCTTGTAGTGGGATACTTACATTTAAGTTTGTGCTGTAATGGAATTTTTGGTCATGTGTGTGTTTGTGTATATATGTATGTATGTGTGTACATGCGTGTACATGTACATTTGCACACAGTTGGATTGAGGTATTAAGATAATTTAGCACTCTGGTTCATATTTACAATAAAATTGTTTCTATTTTTATTTATTTATAGAAAATTTTTGATACTGGAGATACCAACAAAGATGGGAAGCTGGATTTTGAAGAATTTTCCAAGTACCTCAAAGACCATGAGAAAAAAATGAAATTGGCCTTTAAAACTTTGGACAGAAATAATGATGGTGTGTCTTTCTCATTTTTTGTTTTTCACCAGTTTTGAAGAAACATTTTTTGGACTTTTGAAAGTCTAAATTGATGCCATATTTATTCTTTTTCAACATGTAATTATTTCTTGTGTTACTGTTCACTCATTTGTTTTAATAATCTTAGTTTTCTTTACAGTTCATATTTTAATGAAGAAAACTTACAGATAGCATGGTCTACTGAATGGACATAAATGTTAACTATAGAACAGTCAATATGCTGATGTGACTTAAAGCTAAGGGTTAAAAATTAGGCTGGGGAAAAAAAAAGCTTCAACCAGCTAGAGCTGGAAAGAAGGGGAAGGTGGCTCAGTGGTAGAGTGCTTGCCTTGCATGCATGAGGCCCTGGGCTCGATTCCTCAGCACCACATAAGCAGAAAAAGCCAGAAGTGGCCCTGTGGCTCAAGTGATAGAGTGCTAGCCTTGAGCTGAATTGCTGAGAGACAGCACCCAGACCCAGAGTTCAGGCCCCAGGATGGAAAAAAAAAAAGGCTGGGTGTAGTTGTACATGCCTATAATCCCAGCTATTTGGGAATTAGAGATTGAAAGGATCACAAATTGAAGCTAGCCCAGGAAAATCAACAAACAAGCTAGGGTATACACTTATAATTCCAGCTACACAGAAGTTTATACGTAGGAGGAAAGTAGTCAGAGACTGAACCTTGGGTGAAAACTTGAAATTCTATCTGAAAAATAACTAAGGCAAAAAGGGCTAGAGGCATGGCTCACACGGAGAGTACTTGCCTAGCAAGCAAGAAGCCTGAGTTCAAGCCTTAGTACTGCAATAATAATAATAATAATAATAATACATACTTGCCTTTTCTGTAAAAAATATTTATTTCTATTCATTTATAGGCATGGATATTATATATTCTAAAATTTTAAAACTTTCAGATTATCTTATATTTAATATATTTTTTTAAAGATTAAGGAGGAACAAGGTACTGGTGGCTCATGCCTATAATCCTAGCTACTGAGAAGGCTGAGATCTGAGGATTATGGTTTGAAGCCAGCCTGGCCAGAAAAGTTCATGAAACTTTTATCTCCAACAAACTACTCAGAAAAAGCTGGAAGTGTTGCTGTGGCTCAAGTGGTACAGTGCTGGCCTTAAGCATAAAGAGGCCCAGGGCCCAGGCCCTGAGTTCAAGCCCCAGGACCAGCAGAAAGAGAAAAAAAAAGGACTCTGCTCTTGAAAATTAAAGGAAAATATAGATAGCATATAGCATGAGACATTTAACTATATACTTTCTGATTGGTATTATGTCCTCTCTATTTATAGGAGTAGCTTAGAGTCCCAGTTATGAAGGGCATAAAACAAAGGCCATGGTATGAGAAAGGGAGGCACCATGAATGTCCCATCTCTAGCAACAATCAGTGAAAGAGGAAATTTATCAAGGTTATAACATAGCTCTACATTCCTCTCTCTTTATAAAGAGTCAGGGTCACCCATTCCATAGACTTGCTATTCAGTAGAGAAGTTGAACAAATAGGTTGAGAGAAAATGGGGTTTATATTGTAATGGCAAACATCACATAAAAGTTTAGACATAAATATTTTAGCATCATGGGCACTGAGGTCTTAGCTGTGGCTGCTTAGCCATAAACAATATGCAAACCAATAGGCTTGGCTGTGTTCCAATAAAACTTTATTTACAAAGACAGTTAACAAGCCTTATTTTGCTTGAAAGTTACTGATTTACACTAAATCTAAATTCAAAGCAAATTCTTACAAACCAAGTCGATTCAACTAATTTAGAATGAGTTTGGTTCAAGTCTATGATTCTATATCAGGAAGAGCTGAGCTTATGATAGAAGATAGAACTATGAGAGCATCCTTGTCTTCTGATAAACCTTTATGCCTGTCCCCATTCTAGTCTTCTTCTAATTGTCAAGCATAATTCAGATGTTACAATCAGCTTGCCTTCCTTTCTGCAAATTTCCAGTCTAGTTTGGACTCTGAACTGGAAGGGCTGGCTCAAGTGGTAGAACACTTGTCTAATAAAAAGCAAGGCCCTGAGTTCAAGTCCAGTACTACAAAAAAAAGACAGAAATCTTGAATGTCTATGGCCATATCACCTTGAATATACCCATATTGTCTTAGCTTGATCACCTTTCAGTTGAGTTGTGGTGGAAACTTTCTTGATAAACTTAGGAAAGCCAAAAGTGGAGAAATGGAACTACCTCAGGATCAACTGCCAGATAATTAGTGGCCAGTGATCCCAGCACATAAGCCATACACATATCCATGTCCTTCACAGAAAATTCTAATAAAGATGATATTTTGTGTGTGTGTGTATGTGTACCAGTCCTGGAACTTGAACTCAGGCCTTCAGCTTTTTTTTCTTTCCCCTCAAGGCTAGCACTCTACCACTTGAACCACAGCTCCATTTCAGCTTTTTGGTGTTAATTAGAAGTTAGAGTCTCAGAAACTTAGTTTTGAACTATGATCCTCAGATCTCAGCCTCCTGAGTAGCTAAAAGACAATGATCCATTTAATGACACATTTACAGCAAATGTAAACAGTATCACTTTATCTCTCTCTCTCTCTTTTTTTTTGCATTAGTGCTGGTACTGGGTCTTGAACTCAGGTACCGGGGCTTGAACACAGGCCCTTGTGCTCCTGCTTGACTTTCTTTCTCATGACTGGTGCTCTATCTACTTGAGACTTAGGGACTGCTACTTCTTAATTTCATCACTGAGTAAGGCTATTGGAACTCTGGGATCTTCTGTGGAATGTCAGGTTTTAGCTATATGATTGTTAGTGATTACTGAGTTAAATGATGTGCATATATTTTTGTTCCATGTTCATGTTTACTTGGTCAAAGTTTGAGTATTGATGTGCTAATATGGATTTAAGCTGATCTATAATGTACCTAGACACATAATTTTGCCTTAATCATTATAAATCTTTCTCTTGAATAGAATTGAAAATTCAATTTCCAAGATCTTTGTCAATTCTGAGTCTGAGTTTCTGTTGTTTTCATTTGCTTAAAGGAAAAATTGAGGCATCAGAAGTTGTCCAGTCTCTCAAGACTCTGGGTGTAAATATTTCTGAACAACAAGCACAATTGATTCTAGAAAGGTAAGCTCCTTGTCCTGTTTATTACTACCACTGCTACTGCTACTACTACTGCTACTACTACTACTACTACTACTACTACTACTACCTCTACTACTACTATTTTGTGCTGGTACTGGGACTTGAACACAGGGCCTGGGCTCTGTCCCTTAGCTTTTTTCACTTAAGGCTGGTGCTCCACCACTTGAGCCACAGCTCCATTTTCATCTTTTATTGGTCGTTTACTGAGTTTCACAGACTTTCTTGCAGGAGCTGGCTTTGAGCGGTGATCCTCAGATCTCAGCTTCCAGAGTAGCTAGGATTACAGATGTTAGCCACTAGTGCCCAGCTTGATGGTTATTTTCCATTCTCACTTTAATATTCTTCATTAGAGAGATGCATGTGTTAAATGAGGCTTTAAAGCATTTTTCTGTACTGCACTATTCATTATTCTTAGTAGCCATTGTTTGTCTTTCTTTTTTCCCCGTATTTGTTTTGTGTATGCCTTTATGTGTCTACAGGCAGGGATGGGAGAGGGAGCCCAGAGAGTGGAACAGGAGTAGGTGTTACAGTCGGACACAAGGTGACAAGGACTTGACTGTTTCTTGTCTTCCTCCTCTTGCTTTCTGTGGTGACAATAGAACTCATTTTTTTCTAAGGTAAATTGTCTAGCAAATTGTTTAGGTGTTTAGGTGGCTAGATGAGGAAAAATTCCAAAGGTCTTCCAGTGATCAAATAACTATTGACTTTAATTCTCAGAACTCAGTGCCAATCTGAACATCATTATCTGGAACCATCAGCTCAGCTGTTTAGTCAGATATTTACAGCCTTAATCTGCTATTTTACAAGATGGGATCATACCCTCTGAAGTATAGATACTTTTATAACTCTTTTATTACCACCTATTCTGCCACCCCCCCCTCCGCCCCCATGGTACTGAATAGTACTATTTTTTTTCTTTTTCAATGGTACTGGAGTTTGAACTAAGGGCCTTGTGTTTGCTAGATGGATATTTACAGTTGAGTCATGCTTCCAGCCCTCTTTTGCACTAGTCATTTTTTAGATAGGGTCTTGCGTTTTTCCTAGGTCTAGGCTGGATTGTAATCTACTTGTTTCATACATTTCGTCAGAGCTGGGATGGCAGGGACATACATCAAGACCAGCTTCTTGTTCAGATAAAATCCTGTGGACCTTTCTGCCCAGGCTGGCCTTGAACTGTGATTGTCTTGATCTTAGCTTTCTCAAATATCACTGCACCCAGCTCATCGGTTTAAGAAAATGTCTCACAAGGTCAGCCCAGCCTGACCTTGAACTGCAACTCTCCCAATTTCGGTCTTCTAAGTATCTAGGATTACAGGTGTGAGCTTTGATGCCTGGCTTCATTCATTTAATCATCTATTTATTTGATGGTATTGAACATTGAACTCAGAGCCTCACATTTGCTAGTCAGGTGCTCTACCACTTATGCCCTTTTTCTTTTTCTTGTTTTTATTATTTTTATTTTTTGTTTATATGGTACCAAGGAATCCAACCCAGGGTCTCATGCATGAAAGTTAAGCACTTTACCACCAAGCCACATCACCAGCCCCTACTTACGCCTTTTGATTAGGTTCTCATGACTATGTCAGGGTTAGCCTATACCACAATCTACCTATTAAAGTTTCCAGTGTAGCTGGGATGAAAAGCATTAACCACGATGCCCAGCTTTTATTGGTTGAGAAAAGGTCTCACAAACTTTATGCCTAGGGTGGCATTGAGCCAGTTACAGCAGTGAACAAAATCAGCCCAAATCCTGCCCATACTTGGGAGTTCGAGGATGGGGTTAGATAATGAACAATTGTAATGAAATAGAAAATAGTGATTCAGTAAAGCTACAGATGTTGCAAACAAAAAATGAACTTGTAAAAGTAAGTAGTGACTTGGTGTCTCCTGTAGATATGGAATGTCAAAGTCTGTGCACTGGGACAAATGAAGTGTAATTTCATGTATGCAGATCAGAATGTAAAGTGGCTCCAGAAAGCATAATAAGTATTTCAAACTTACATTTTATTTGACTACCATCTTTCTGCAGCCTTTCCATAAAATTACAATAGTGAACAAGCCAATCAAAAGTCTGTCATGATGCTGAATTGATCTTAGGGGGAAAAAAACAGTACAGATGGACTCTGTTTTCAATAGAGTTGTAAAACAAGCAAAAAGTTTGTGTTAAATATTTAAGATTATAACATGTTAATTTTAAAGGTGAAAATGAGGTACAAACATGAGATGTCTTGCTGATTTTTGTGTTATCTTCAATTTTATTCACCAACATTTTATGGTTTTCATTGAAGCTTGTTTATATCTTTGATTAAATGAATACTTTGGGTTTTTTTTAGCTATTACATTGATTTTTCTGTATTGTAATATAGTAATGGTACTTATTTTTATATACTGATCTTGGTACACTAAAACTCTTCTGCATTCATTGAATAGTTTGTTTTGTTTGTGTGTAGTCTCTGCCGTTTTCTATACTTAAGATCCTGTCATCTGCAAACAGTGAAAATTTAATTTCACCCTTTCTAATTTATGTCCTTTATTTCCAGGATTTCTTAAGCATTTAAAGGCCTACTTAATAAGAGTTTGATTTCTTACAATCACTGCTTTTTTTCCTTTTTATCATGCAACCTGGAAAAGCAAATTGCAGCATATTTCAAAATTGCATCCAAATGTTGCAGCAGAATGGAAAAAACAAACAAACAAAAAAGAAACCAAAAAACAAAAAAAACCCAACAAACCTTCCCGAGTCAGTACAAGCAAACATGGACCATAATTCATTCATGACTACTTTCCAGTATTTAATTGTCTAAGTTTTGTGTTTTATAGCTCATGACAGGGTGCCTGCGGCAGTCTTTAGTGAACTCTCACTGTAATGTTGGGGTTTATTTTTGTCTAGGTAGTTAAACCTACCTTACAGGACCATTAAATGCCTGCTGCTAATTCTGACAACCTAGTGTGATGGGGTTTAAGTTTTTAATAAGTATATTGCATTGGCAAAAGAAATTGTTATTGTGTATGATGACCAGTAATCTCAGCTTTGTCCCTGTGTTCTTTAATCTCTTAAAAATTCTTTTAGTATTGATGCTGATGGGACAATGACAGTGGATTGGAATGAATGGAGGGACTACTTCTTATTTAATCCTGCTTCAGACATCCAGGAAATTATTCGTTTCTGGAAACATTCTACAGTGAGTTTGCTTTGTGTAATTATACTTCTTTGGAACTGCATGCCATTCACAGAATTACCACCCAAGAACCCCTGTGTAACATCTGAGCCAGGGTGCCCAAACCCCAGTAGTTCCTTACCTTGAAGAAATTTATTAGACAAACATGCGAAAGTCTTTAAAATCATGCCATTGTCCAAAATTAGAAGGACCACCTTGATGCATGAGCTGTGGAGCTTTAATTAGCATATACGTCTTCTGCCAGGAAGAAGTCTAAAAGTCACATATTGCCCACATCATCTCAACACCTATGACTACTAAGGGCTTACCTTGTCCATGTTGATGTGGCCTCAGGTCCCTTCTGAAACTTAGGCTTATTTAGGCAGGCTCCTACATGTATCTCTGGCATGGGTTGAGGATACTCAGTGAACTCACTGAAGGTTATGTAATATTTTTGGCTCATTTGCACAGTATTTCACACAAGTTGGTATTCCACAAGCTTTTACATTTTGATTAGGTTTTATCAATATTCTGCTAAAATAAGGTGGTACTGAAATGAAATTTCCTCTGCGTCATCTCCTCTGGAGACCACTGGGGACTCTCTGGAGGAAAAGAGTGAGCTTCTCTTCTGTATTCACTCATGGATTACTGCCATTAGCAGCAATGCCTAAATACTATGAAAATTGTTGGTGATTAATATCCATTCAACTGTGAGCATAAAATAAAATAAAGTAGTGCTACATTAGCAGTTCAGTTGGACACATTTAATACCTATATGAAGTATTACTCATTTTTTATTGTAAACTGAGAGAAGGGAAGGTCATTTCCATGGCCTCGCTCCTTACCCTTACATGCTTGCCTGTGAAATCTCTGATGTCAACCAAAATGAGTTAGATAATTATAAGAACATGATTATAGAATTTCATTTCTTTCAAGCTACATTTGTAACCTGTAGCAATGTTTAGGACAGGTATGATGAATGATCATTTCACATAATATCCACCTCACTTGCTAAATTTTACATACAATCTCTTGCATGCTTTAAGTAACAAGCCAGATTTGTAAAACTATTTATAGAGAGTAAATATAGGAACCGAGCTTAGGGAGAGTCACATATTAGTAAGATGAGTACATTTCCTATCAAGCATTGTTACCCCCTCCTTTGTTTTTTTTCCCTACCGTCTCTTTCCTCCCCACATCCCCAACTCCTCCCCTCCCCAATTGTAAAGTTCGTTTTCAACATAGTGTCTTATACATCTCATTGTTACAATAGGTCAACCTGTATCCTTGTTACAGCATTTTGTTATTTCCCTTTCCCCCTCCCCAAATTAGAAAAATGTATATACAAGATGCAGGGCACCAGAATCAAATACAGTGAAAACAGGGGTTATCCCATGGAGGAAGAACAGGGTTTTTGTTTCATTTTATAAAGTAATGTGCCATGGTTTGTGTCATATGTAGATATACTTTTGAGGAACTGACAAACTTAATTCCTTCCTTCCTTCCTTCCTTCCTTTCCTCCTTCCTTCCTTCCTTCCCTCCCTCCTTCCTTTCTTCCTCCCCTCCCCTCCCCTCCCCTCCCCTCTCCTCTCTCCTCTTCTTGTCCCAGGACTTGAATCCTGGGCCTGGAGTCACTGTCTCTGAAACTCTTTGTGCTTGAGGCTAGTGCTCTATCACTTGAGCCACAGTGCCACTTCCAGCTTTTTCTGAGTAGTATATTGGAAATAAGAGTCTCATGAAGATTCTGGTTTTGAACAGGGATCCTCAGATCTCAGCCTCCTGAGAAGCTAGGATTACAGGTGTGAGCCACTGGTGCCTGGCCTAATTTCTTAAAAGTTGTCATCACTAATGCTTGTCTAGCATCCTGGAAAGTATACTAGAAAGGATTCACTATATCTGATGAAATGCTGTTCTTTTATTATAACTTAAACAAACAAAAGTCACCTTGTCTATAAATAAAGAATGTTGTTAATGATTGAGTTGATAAAAAATTGGTCATTATTGATTTGATAAAAATTGGTAATTACATTAATTGAATGTGGTAATGATTTGATAAAATTGGTAATAATTGCTTTAGTAAAAATTGGTAACTTATTAAATGCATGTGGTAATCATCTCTTTGGTAAAATCAGTAATTAATGATTGATTTGGTAAAATTGGTCATTAACTTTATTATTGGTAAATTAAATTGGTAATTATTTTCATTTCTTGTGAACTGATACTACATGATATTTAGTGTGAACAGACTATAATCATCTAAGTGCTTAGACTGGCTTATTGTAAGTTCTGAGGAATATAGATAATCTTAACCAAAATAATGCATGCTTCTCTAGAACTAACACCAGCAGAAGCCTCTCGTTGGAGGGTCCGTTTTTAGCCGAAGGAGTAAGATGGTCTTTTTCTCCCGTGTGCACAGGGGATTGACATAGGGGACAGTTTAGCTATTCCTGATGAGTTCACAGAAGAAGAGAAGAAGTCGGGGCAGTGGTGGCGGCAGCTGTTGTCCGGAGGCATTGCTGGGGCCGTCTCTCGAACAAGCACTGCCCCTCTAGATCGCTTGAAGGTCATGATGCAGGTGAGCTCCAGGGCTTTGCTCTGAGTCATGTGCTGCTTTGGAAAAAGATTTTAAGTTTCTGTTTTTTAAATTAGCCTATGTTAGCTGTACGAGGGTAATTTCGTCATGACCCCTGCATATGTGTAAACTACATAACCCATCAACCTTACCTTGGTTTCCAGTCTCTTTTATCCCACGTCGTCTTCTTACAACAATTTCAACAAGTGTCATTGTTCTATTTTCACTCATACAAATAATCTACGTGAACCATACTCACTCTCTTGTTAGCCTTTTCCTTTTCCTACTGGTCCCCCCAACTCCATTTGCGTCTATTTTGCTTCCCTGTTGTTGTTTTAGACCGTGTATTAATTTTAACAAGCATGTATTATGTGTTGCTCTGAATTTTCCCACTCGTATCTCTCAGCAGCTTTCACTGTGCTGCTGTATACTGTCTTCTTACACAGTTGCACTGCATTTAAAAATTCATTCTCTCTTTCTCAAAAAGAGGTTTCAAAATGTTCCAGTAATTGTCATACCTTAAAAAAAAGTTTTATTTTTTTGCTAATAACCCTTAGTTCAGTCCATGTAAGTATTTGGCAATATTCTGCCAAACCTTAAATTATTGGTGGGTGTATGTGTGTAAGAGCTTTTAATCTTTGGCTTTCTATGATTATTCAACTGTTTCATTAAAAGAAATCCTCTAGCCATTATTATAGTGTTCACTTTAAATTACTTGTATTTTTATTCATTTTTATGTTATTTTATTAAAAGTGGGGCATTTCTGAAATCTAGCATCAGGGGATAAAGATACAATTTTAAAAATTATTTAAAAGCTAAGATTAGCAGAAAAAGACCTGGATTTATAGACTGGCTTCTCTGTTCACTCTCAGTGTGGTATTAGGCTAGAAAGAAGCAAGGAATGGAAATGAATTAATACAGCAGACCCTTGGTACTCATGGGTACCTGGTTTCAAGGAGAACACACCTGAGAAAGTTCAGGGCGGTGCTGCACATGTTTGATTCATTTCTTCCATATCACCGCCCAACTTCCACTAAAGGATGTGCCACCTTTGAACAAATCTTAGATTTCCACTTGGTGCTTCATTTAAGCACATTGCATGGCCTTTTAAGACGTGGGAGGATTACTATAATGTTCACTTTGTTTTGGGGGCACCATTTGCTTTTTGGGGGGAGGCAGATTCCACAAAATTCAAAGGCAGGGAGACATTCAGTAGATCACACAAAGATTTAAACATGATTGACGATAACATGGGACTGGCCAGGAGTCTCTTGATATCCATGGAGCTGAGTGATGTTTGGAAAGTTTCACTTAAATTTAAAAAATTCTTTTGATTTAAAACATTATTATTATTTTAATAAACTTGGTTAAAACTGCATGTAATCTATGTATAAGGAGGAATTTGTGTAGTTCAGCTAGGTAGGTATTTATTCTTACGCTATTCATGGAGTACCTGAGGCTGTAAGAGTTCACTAACTTTCCCTTTCTAATGAGCTAATTAGCTAGACCAGGAATTGCGTGTCTTTACCACTTGAGCTTATCGTTCTCACACTGTGTGTGGCCATTGAGGTCTTATTTTTCTTCATTCTGAAATTGTAATATCTAACAGGATGACCTTATAAGACAACCCAATACACTGGGACACTTGAATAACCTACTGAAATACAGAAGCTGCTTAAAAATTATTTTAAAAGTTGTGTTTTATATATATATATATATATGCACATACATATACACATACATGTATATTTAAAACTTTTTGTTTAAGACTTTTGTACACAAATATTTCTGATCTATTTTTTTTGGTAGTATTGGGACTTGAACTCAGGCCCTCATTCTTGCTAGGCAGATGCTCCATTACTTGAGCCATGGTTTTAGTCCTTTGGCTTTAGTTATGTTTTAGATATGATCTAATATTTTGGCCTGGGCTTGCCTCAGGCATGGACCAACAAACTTGACTTATTTGTTGAGACATTAGTGGTATCTGTTTAACTTTTTGCCTAGACTAGTCTTGAACTACACTCCTCATTTTCATCTCCTGAGTAGCTGGGGTTTGCAGGTGTGAGCCACTGAGCCTAGCCCAGTTTCTAAGATTTTTTTTCAGAATGTAGCCAAGTCTCAAAATTTGTTTAGGGACAAGCATGGTGTTTTTTAAGAAAAGGGGGTGGGGATTGGTATATGTGTTTTCTGTTAGGAACAGTAGCAAATTGACTTTGAAGAAGCTTAAACACTCATGTTTTCCTAAAATCTATTGTGAAGTTTATTTATTTAAACAAAAATGGATTTTTCAGGACTTTTTGATTCTGCAAATTTGAGGTGGTTTCCAAAGTCATCTTCAGGTTTGATATACCCACAGTACTCAAAAAGGTTTTATACCCATGGCCCTGTTTTATTACAGGGAAAAGATAAAGATTAAAATCAGCCAAGCAAAGGAAGTACAGAGGGCTGAGTCCAGGGAAGTTCCAGCCTCAGAGCGTCTCCTGTCCGGTTGCTGTGGAGTCTTAATGCTGTACTTTATTAGCATGGACGTGGAGCAGTAAGCACAGGGCACTGCAGGGAGGCTCACCCCAGCCTTTGGTGTCCAGCATTTTTATTTGGGTCACATTCTATTCTGGCTGTATGGATGACCTTCAGTCTTTTTTAAATTAATTAATGTTTTTTTAAATTGTGTAAATATGGTAGAGAGGGGTTACAATTACATGAGCAAGGTAATGAGTACATTTCTTACCAAGCATTGTTGCCTCCTCCTTTGTTTCTCTTACCATCCCTGTCCTCCCATCACTGCCCCCCCACCCTGCCAAAGTTGTAAAGTTCGGTTTTTCAACATCATGTCTTGTATGTTTCATTGTTGCAATGGGTCCACCTGTATCCCTATTTAAACGATTTGTTTTTTCCCTTCCCCTCCCCAAATTATACCAACATCAAATGCAGTGAAAACAGGGGTTATACCATGGGGGAGGGACATACAAAGCAACAAAGAAATAATCTTATAAATATGTTAGAAACAATCGCAAGAAAGAAAAACCATTTGAGTCCTTTAGCTTCTTCCATCTTCTTTTTCTCCCTTTCTTTTCCTTCCTTCTCTCCTTCTTCCTGCTCTCTCTCTCCTTTCCCTTCCTTACTCCCTCCTCTCCCTTCCTTCCCTTCCTCCTTTCTTCCCTCCTTCTTTTGATACTTTTATTTCCCTTTCCTTTTCTTCCCTCTTTTTCCTCCCTCCCTCCCTCCCTCCCTCCTT